AAAAAAAAAAAGAAAAAGAAAGAAAGAAATTTAGTAAATTGAAGATTCCTAGACAACACTAGTCCCAGCATGTGTTACATTGTTTAAATACTGTTGCTACGTCAATATTGATCTTTAAATTAGGAGTCAGGCTGTTTTAACAGTTTAGCAAAGTTGAAAGTAGCCAGGTCATGCTGATTCTTTCTTAATTTCAAAAATGAAAGTAACAAAGATGCATGTTGTTTATCACCTGATTACTTGTTATTTCCTTTCATAGTTTTTGCTTTACTTTCAATTATAATAATTATAACAAAATAAACACTCTAAATCCATTTAAAGAAAGGGAAAGACAGACCGAAAATCATGACACCATTACTTACGGAGAATTTGTAGTCTCTTCCAAAGAGCTGCAAACATTTATCCAGTGCATTATTGTTCTGAAAAGACAAGATTTATAACACAATGTGTATGGCATCATAAATCACCACAAGGCTATGATGTCTTGTGTATCAAATGCTGAATTACAGTCTTGAACATACTATACCAGTAAGCTCCAGGCCAGTCATTTCCCACCCCGGCAAGTAAAATAGTATATACTATGCTTGAGTATGACATCCCTTTGGTGTGTTAGAAATAAATAAATGCATCAACTAAATTAAGAACTTGTAGGTATCCTAATTTTCATGAGGAATTGTGCGGGTTCCTTTTTAATTAAAAAAGATCAAACTGTCCTTATTAAGAATAAAAAAATAGCAATAGGACTTCTAGTTTTTCAGACATGCTTTTTCAGGCTAGTAATACTTGAAATATACCAGCATGAACATGGATGACCGGTAATAAAAAATGGCAGTATTGGTATTCACTGTCACCTCTTCCTACTACGGCAATGTGCCATAAACAGATATAAATCATATAATAACAATCATCTACACGCGTGTGTTTACACACGCACACACACACACACACACACACACACACACACACAATGCAGCTCAAACACTCTGAACTCATTTTTGTTAGTTAAACCAGCAGCCTACAAATATAGAAAAATGAACATTTATCACTTATCTATAGTATCACAAACTATTATGACAGCTATTACATATCAATCTTATCTCTGACCCATACATAGCTTTGTACATTAATATTTCAATAATATACTACACACTATTCTATTCCATTCCATTATATCTAAAGTGCCTCTAATGCAGACACTGAATATCAAGTCCTGCTGAGATTACCATGCATCCGTAAATTTCAAGAAATAAAAATCAATATCTATAAGTATTTTTAGCACAAAAATGTAATTAGAGAATATTTTTATATGTGTTTCCAAAAATAAATTCAAGATCAAGTAATCTTGCTGTAAAATTCCAAGGGAAAATAACCAATCTTCAACTTTCAGAGTAAGATACGGTCTAGCCCATTCAGTGCAGCACTAAGTGTTCTATATACTGGTATATCATGTACTAACCTATACATTAAATGACCAATACAAAAGTCTTAATATGTAAATAAATTAGTATTATCAATTTTCAAAAACTATGAAAAAAGACTTTGAGTCATTTTTTACATCTACAAGTGTTGTATTTCATAAAAGAATTCAGATAAAAATCATGCATGTAAAAATGCTTGCCTGTGTCGTGTTGGCCTTTACATACTAAACTTAATTCATATAACCATACTTATATAAAATGTTCAGCATCGTCCCCTATGTCATAAGGTCTAAATAGCCGGCTTACACCGTATCATATGGATGCTGGCAAAGGTTCAGAATAACTCTTTACTAGTATCTGTACTATTTTATAACCTTTACCCTCATTTTGTGGAAATTAAAACTGTGTCATTCAACTTCGACTTAGCCATATGTTTCTTTTCTGTGTCAAGAACATTTCAGGACCAGTAAAACAAATTACATCTGTTTCAAAAAACAAGAAACACCTGTCCTATTTAATACAACTCTGCTACAGTTTCTTTGAGCAATCAACGACAACATGGGTATTTTTCTCAATCACAGCCCTACCATTGGATCATTATCCTTTGCTCGATAAACGTTCTTCGACATGTGGTCGATCAGTCGTTTAATGTCGTCAAAACCGACCTCTTCTCTTAGCTCAGTCATTTTAAGTGGCCTTATCGTCTGTGCGCTTACAAATCGTTAAAGACGCCTCCACTTCCTCATCTTCCGCCGTCTGACATGATATTTCACTTACCGCGCATGCGTTTGTTTTGACATATGCATCGGAAGTTCTCATTGGTGATTTAGGGGAAACCACGTCCAATGAAAACAAGTGTAATAAATTTTAGTAAAATAAAATCTAGGTCAATCAGTGTCGGGTTCAAGGTCAAAATAAGATGCAACAACGTGTGTTCTGTAGTAAGCCTGGATTTACATAAAACCATGAGCACATTAATACGAAGAGTTGCCTGTGGCATGTCAGGAGGAGTGGACAGTGCAGTGTCTGCCTTGCTGTTGAAACAGAAAGGTTAGATTGAACTACTACGACGTTAAACATTGAGTCGGCTAGTGCATGTCGGTTTATTAAGCAAAGTACTACATATTTGTACACAGGTGCTACTCGTCTTCATGTTTAGGTTAAATGCAGTGTCTTCAACTTTGTACATTTACGTTGAATGATTGACGAAAGTATATGATTTTAATGCAACATATCTGTTGTGCATTGTTTCGCTTTTGTATTTTCTAGGTTATGAGGTTCTAGGTGTATTTATGAAGAACTGGGATGGGAGAGATGAGACTGGTTTCTGCTCAGCTGATGAAGACAGGGAGTATGCCCAGTATGCCTGCAGTCACCTGGACATCCCTTTTATTGAGGTCAACTTTGAGAAGGACTACTGGCATAATGTGTTCTGGTGGGTGGATTATTATTAATATTATAATTATTGTTATTATTATTTGGCATGTGGGGTGATGTACTATTAACATGTTCTTATAACTGAAGCAAGCTGGGGTCATCAGAATTTAATAGGTAATCATGGCCCGATGCTAATCAAAATTTAGCTAAGGAAAATGTGCAATATTTGCCTGTCATTTCCAAACGTTTTTTTTTTTTTTTTTTTTTTTTTTTTTTTTAATTTTTTTTTTTAATTTAGAATTATCCATATTGTACTTAGACATTTCCCAAACATGATAGTAATAAAAATGGGAAATTATATTCCTATTAGATGTAGATACATGTGAATACAAGTGTTTAGCAATATTTAGCTTTTAATTTTTAGTATATTTTAAGTTACAAGTTTTATATTAGACAGTAAACTAGCTGAATCGTGTTATTTTCATTGACAGTGAACTTATAGAAGAATATGAAAATGGCCTGACACCAAACCCAGATGTTTTATGTAACAAGCACATAAAGTTTAACAAATTCTTCAATTATGTCCGAGATGAGCTTGGGGCTGATGCAGTGGCCACGGGTCATTACGCCCAGTCCTCTGCTGGACCTTACCTAGAGAACTTGGACACTAGCAAAGGTCAGTTTTTTTGTTGTTTTTTTTTTCGAAGTGAGACTTGACATTTTGTCAATTTTTCAGTTTAAGATGGCTGACGCTGATAAAAGTTATAAATCTAAAACTGTTTATATATGTATAAATCATCAAGTGTAACACACACACACACACACACACACACACACACACACACACACACACACACTCTTATATGACATCATATCACCTATGCTGCATGATAGAATTTTTTTATTGCAGGGGTCAAACTACTCAAAGCAGCAGACACTCTTAAAGATCAGACATTGTTCTTGTCGCAGATATCCCAGAAGTCCCTGCAGAGGACCATGTTTCCTCTTGGCGGACTCCTGAAGACACAGGTCAAACAGATGGCTGTTAGTGCTGGCATGGAGAAACTGGCACAGAAGAAAGAGGTTGGTGATCTTTAAAGCAGTTTTTTAAGGTTTTTACTGAAGAAAAGTAGAAATAATTTAGATATTTTGAAACTAAGTATTGAGATTTTGAGTGAATATTTTTAAATATTATTCATTTAAAGAAAATTTACTGTGTGTTTAGTCTTTACGCATTGTTTATATTCTAAAGAATTGGTATTTTTCTAAGCTTTCAGTTTCCTGTATTACAGATAACCATTGGCGTGTCTTTCAATTTGATCTAGTTATGTTAATGTTCTTATAAAAGCTGTCTGATTAAAATGCACTTATATTCACATTTCCAGAGCATGGGTATTTGTTTTATCGGAAAAAGAAAATTCCAGTCATTTTTAGAAGAAGTAAGTAATAATTTTTAGATAAAGCAGTCAAAGGAATGGATTAGTCAAAATGTCAAGTTAATAATATTTTTCATAATAAAATTGTTTTTCTTCATTAAATGCTCTTTGTTTTGTATACATGTAGGGTCATGTAAAGTTACTTTTAATAATTAAAAGCTGGTGTGCAAACATATGAACCCTTCAGAATTACTCTTAGTACCAATTGTTATTCTTATTTTTATTAAATATTTATAATTTTTCCCTACTTTCAGTGATATTAGTTATGATATATAGCAAAAGTCATAAAGAGAGAGGAATTTGAAAGAATGCAAACCTACACCCATGACAGATAGCACATATGAGATTCAGGAAAAACATTTTAAAAACTATTTCCATCACATTTGTTTAAAGATTAATTAAATATTTATATGATTCCAGTATATAGAACCCCGACCAGGAGAGTTCATAGACATAGAGACGGGGAAGGTGGTGGGCAGTCACAAAGGTGTCCAGTTCTGGACAGTTGGCCAGAGGTGTCACCTGGGTGGGATGCCCCATGCCTATTATGTGGCCAGTATTTGTCCAGAGACACAGCAGATATTAGTGGTCAGTACGGTTTGATTTTACAGCATTTTTAGTGGTCAGTTTTTAAAAAAATATTTTTCATATAATTCGAGGTCACCAAGCAAGTGGTACTTTAAATTTATTGTTAATCAAACCATATTTAAAGTCCATCATTAGTACTTTGTAAAAAGAAAAAAAAAAGAAATAAGTTTCTTTCGAGAAATTCACATTTGAAGTTATTTTATGTTCTTGAACTAAAATAAAATGTTTCAAACATCAGCAAGAAATTTAACATCGTAGCTTGGCATCTCTTTAATTGTACAAACCAACTCACTCTTGCTATAAGCATATATACTGGGGACCTGGGTATATCATTATAATTATCCCCATTCCAGGCCCCAGGAAGTGACCACCCAGCCCTGTACACTGATTTATTTAAGGCTGGGCCACCCCACTGGATTCACAGTGAGCCCACACTCTTACAAGCCATACATAAACAGGAGTGCGACTACTTAATCCAAAAAATGGACTCGCTAACGAGGTGTACGTTATGGAAGCCTTTTAATGGACTGGAGGAGCTTGAAGTCCACTGTTCCTGTACTGCCAGGGCTATAACGCCAGGGCAGTACGCAGTGTTCTATCTAGGTGATGAATGTCTAGGAAGTGCCAAAATACTATCAACTGGACCTTCTATGTTTGACCTTGACAATGACCCAAAGGATAATGACCTTGACCCAGATAGTCATGAAATTGTGGAGAGTCGTGTATGACACATTGATTTTCGATCTTAAATTTTTATATATGGAATTTTGTTTAACTGAGACGTTGGTTGTCAGACTTTTTTTATAGATCAATTTATTTTTATTTAAAAAATATGGATGCAAGATAGAAGGTTTTTCTTTCTCTCTATCAGGGTCTGTCTGGTATTGCATCATGTGACGTTTATAAATTAAACGAATGAGAAAAATATCTAGGTATAATATCCATACCAATAAAACCTGCAGGCAGCGGCTGAAATTACTTTGATCGCAAATTTTGAAAAAAAAAAGAAAAATATAAAATCTTATGGCCCGTTTCAGTGCCAGTTACACTATCGCATTGTAATGAAATTTGATATAACAGTACACTGTTTTAAATCTTGAAACCATTATGTACTGAATAATGGGTCCAAGATTAAATGGGATAATAAAAAAGAGCGGTTTTCATTAGATAGTTTATTTATTCCATACACTCGTAGGGCGTTTGTGAAAACCTTAAAAAAATTTGCTCTGAATAATCTAGTGATTGCGAAAGATCAACTGCATGGTGCGCACTCATTAGTAACAAACGTTTCTCTGATGGAGAGTACAGTTAGATCTCGCGAATTTGTGCGTATTGCCAAACTTGGCGTACGCCGGTCAAAATCGTCCATGTTGCCTCTTGTAACACTGTACAAAACATGAACTGTGTATTGCACCTCGAAAACAACTTTTGATTGTAGGGCGGCAGTGTTAATTAATGCCGGCGGTGCAGTCGTCATTGGCGTTAATATTCCATGAATTCCCCATATCGGACCTTAGTATCTGACTCCACCAGTAACGCGGCCCCGTTCTTGCTCTCGTCCTCGACCAGGTCAATGAATGCATTGGCCACAGTGGCGGGGCTGAAATAAATTATAATGTAAATTGTAATGTAAATTATATTTATTTATTTATTTATTTATTTATTTATTTATTTATTTATATTATAGTGTAAAACGTGAGGTGAGATTGTGTGAAAGAGATTTATTAATTATCACGGTACATGTTGATGGATAAAACACCGTTTCTCAATCGTCTATGCGTCAACATTGTTCATTAACAGATTGACACAATGTCAAGCGAGAAAACCGATCGAATTTCAAACGTGTTTTTAAAAAAAATTAGTAGCGCTTTTTAATCGATATTTACGGAAGTTTATTGAAGCTGCTAGTATTTCAGTCTCGTTGATATAGATACAGTATAGCGTTAAAAAAAATAATAAATTTATCCATATTAATCCAATATGATCTAACTATTAAAGCGTTCATCGCATGCCATGGTTTCACCGAGTTTAGTTCCACTCACTTTATAGACTTAATATGGGGCAGGTCCTCGGCGAAGAGCTCTGGCTGAAGAACGCCCTTCTCCTTCAGGGTCTCCAGGTTCAGTGACCGGATGAAAGGTGTGTCCGTCATGTCTGGACATAGACAGTTCATCCGTACCAGATGGTCATCATAGTCTAGACTGTACTGGATATAGGAAAAATACAGGTATATGGAAAATGCTGTTTGAACATCTCGAATAGCGAGAGGTGTGTTTATATTAACGGTGAATTATGACATATTTCATGGTGAATTCTCTTTTACACTAAATCAGTTTATTTATTTACAAAATTATTTATTTATCTCTTTATTAATTGTGCTTGTTACCAATGTATTTATTAATTAACTCGGGAACAATCCAATCGACTAGTCAATTACCCTGCACCTAACCACAGTTCAACACACTGTAACAAAACAGAAAGCATTCACAAAAAGTTGATCTGCGGAATAACTAGTCCGCGTATCAAATATGGCGAGCACTTGACAATGTCTCCCACACACACACACCGTCCCAGCAAGGGCAGAGCAATTAATCTTGGCACGCTTTCAAGTGGGTGGCGCCATATTTGATCCGCAGATCTGTTAGTCAGCGGATCAACTTGCTCTGAATGAGCCCTCATAGACTGTAAAATACGACATATCTGTACTAACCCCCCAGGCTCTGGTGAATCCTACGATGCCAGCTTTAGAAGCACTGTAGACGGGACTGTTGTCATTGGGCTCCAAGCCTGCATAGAAAGGTAAACAGTTTCTTAATATTCCAAGTAGCTAGTCAGTGTGCCAGGTAAGCATTTAGTTTACCAGTTAAGCGCCTTATACGATACGCATTTCCGTGATATCTTCCTAACGGAGCAACATTAAATATCAAATAAATGATAGCGATTAATTTTATTACGCAAACATCAAATGGACGCACCGCTTCGTCGCACTTAGGTCAATATTCAAGTATAATTAATTTAGGCTTCTAGTAGCCAATATTTCATGTTTACTATGTTTACTATGATTACCTGCCATGGAAGCTGAGTTTATAATAACTCCTCCGTTTCCTCCTCTGTCTTTCCTCATGTATTTCATGGCTGTGTTGGCGACTCGTATGATGCCCAACTGAACATAAAGTGAAACATTTTTCAAATTTTCTTTTTGCACAAACTATTGAAATTTTGAGTTAGTCAGATATACGCGCACATGACAATCTGACATCTTTTTCAGATCGTACTGACGTCACTAGGAATGTGTGACGTCACTTGGTGTGTGTGACGTCATGTAAAAAGATGTCAGACTGACGTCGAAACGTATCTTTGAGTACCTTTAAGATTTGCTATCTGCTATCTTTTGGAAACTGGGTAACTTCTTTCAACAAATGAAGCGAGGCATTTGACGAGATATGTAACGGGAAAAGCTTCTCAGATGCAGATTAGTGTTTATCTTCTCAATATGTAGAACTTCACTTGTCAATTTATCTCTTTCAATTTATGCTGTAAAATATTACCCAACTAGCCTTTTGGTCTCGCGAATCAACTAATTGACCGTTACAACAAATACTCACCAGGTTGACGTTGATGCAGTATTCGTAATCTTTCTCATTGAGAATCCCAACATTGTTACCAACAATGTCAATACGGCCATACCTGTCCACCGTATTTTTAATTGCATCTAAACAGAAACAGTTAAAAACTTGAAGTGAAAACACAAAATTTTGATTTACTGTATTTCTGCGTATTTTTGCTTTTTTTTTTCTTCTAAATTTCGAATAGTGACATCGCAATCAATCTTCCCTTTGCTGTTCATCTGCAGAGACTAAGTGAGATAAAACCATACTATAAGAATCCAGCACGTTGATAAATCACTATATCATTTAAATATTTTATGATATTTACTTATAGGGTGCGTTCACAATGAATCTATGGGATCGTTCACATGGAAAGTCTATTTTCTAAAAATCTATTTTCTATTTGCGGTATCTTGTGATCACGGTCTGTGCCCTGAATATCCCGCGGCGTAATTACTGGCAGCGCGAGCCGTGATCACAAGATACCGCGAATAGAAAATAGATTTTTAGAAAATAGACTTTCCATGTGAACGGTCCCTATGGCACCAGCTAGTGCGCACTTACGCCTCCTCCTGGAGTTGAGCAGAATACAGAAAAAGCTTGCGTTTATACGAGTACGACGGAAACAAGCGGGGGCGTGTTAGTCTGCTGATCCGGTTGCATTCAGCAGGAGTCCCCGTGGAGTTAGTGCGCAGTGGCTCGTACGATAGATTCATTGTGACCGCACCCGTATATTTATTACCATGACGACAAAGGAAAATTGTTTCCCTTTTACTAACTTTCAACGCTATCTGTCAGAGTTACGTCGCATTTTGTAAATAATACATTTTCTTCGCCGTACAATTTCGCAAAATCTACTTCGACTTCTTTTCCTCGATCAGAATCTCGTGCCGCTATTACAACCTATGATGAAACAGAATATAAAGAATAATAAAAGCAAGAAGTTAGATATCAAGGAACTTGACATTTTGTATGTTTCTACTGGTACGCGTGAGCCGAGGGCAGTTTGTGTGAAGATGAATATTAAAAATAAAACAGAATATGAAATAAAAATGATAAAACATTCTGATGGGAGAATATTTTTTTTCCTAACTTTTTTTTCCGAGCTGCATCTTTGTTACTCTTACATCCCGTGTTTAACAGTAATGACGATGACTACTCTACAGTGCACTTACGGTGCTCCGTAACAGTATTTAAAGGGATAATAACTCTTCGTATGAGATCTATATTTCACAATAAAACATTGTGAACAACTCGTAGAAATGTAATATATTCTGTTGTACCACAAAAACGGCAGTTATAGCTATTATTCTGATATCTGTGCTTGTCTTTAGACCACGTGACCTCCATTGATGGCTATACTCTATTATAATCTCTTAAGAGATTATAACAAAAAAGCATACTTTTTAGAAAAAAAACAGGGACTAACTTTGAATGTAAAAATGGATTCATTAATCATATGTAAGTATGGGAAAATTGTTGTTTACTCCAGGAAAATTCATTTTTGGCCAAAATGAAGAGTTATTATCCCTTTAAAAATTTCGTCTAGGCAAGGAGATCGGAATGGCACAATTCGGGAGACGCAGAGGGCCCCTTACCTTTGCGCCCTTTTTCAGCAGCGCGTCCGCTATGGCGTGCCCTATACCCTGTGTACCACCTGTGACAAACGCTACCTTACCATGAATAAGACCGGTATCTTTGCTGCAATATAACACATTAAAACCTTGAAATTAATGCATCAATAAACAGACAATTATTTGTATCTAACATAAATGATGCGCAACGATATTTATCAAATAAACGGTTCTTATATGGGGTAAAAGATGACGTCCTGAATGGAGATTTCTAGAATTATACAGCCATCATATAATTGCCAAGTATGGACTCTCTCTCTCTCTCTCTCTTTCACGGTCTCATAATTTTCGTTCATTCCCATCTGTTAAGAGTACGTGCATTTACGCTCAGGTGATGATGAATACGAAGCCTTAAGGAGAGCTTTAACAATGGCTGTTCACATAGCGGAAAGGAGGAACGACTCCCAAACGACTCCCAGTCCTTAACTATAACACAAGTAGCAAAAAAGTGCATTTTCAAACGTTTTCTTTCGTTGAACTATCGTCACAAAGAATAAAGATAAAAACATATCTAAATGTGTTGATAGCTGTATTTTATATTATATACCGTCCACTACGGCCAATTAGAGAACGTTTTCATTAAAAGTTCACAGATATTTTACGCTGGCTATTCACTAGCTGTACATCATTGTGTTGGGTGACGATTTTTTTTCAGTAGAGCTACGTCATCACAGACCTCAAGCATAGAGAGCATACTAAATTAACTGAGCGCAACGTTTCACCTACTTCCCATATAATATAAACACCTTACCTGGCGTCCGTGTGACACACTTTATATGAAGGATGTTCCAGTCTAAGCTAAGCAACCTATATTCAAATGCGTAAAAGGTGTGGCGTTCTTCATTTGCTTCTTTGACATCCTACGCTACATATATTATTACCTACATGTACACCGGGGTTGGGGATGCTGTGCTGTGTATGGGCCTTAATTGCACCCCGCAATATCACTTTATAAAGAACAAGACAGATGAAGTGCACAACCTACATCTGATCGTTGCTTTGGTGAGGAGAGTGTATGTGCACATGTAGGTCGGGAGGTAAAATCCCATATTTAAGTCTTTCTCTCCGTTAAACTTCCTTAGATATGGGATTATGGAAGGTTTTAGAAACTCATTAAAGCAAATGGAATATCCCTAATACTGAGATATTTATTAATGTCTATGAATTATAACACACGTTTGAATATGTGCATTCACTTACCGGGGTACCATATGCTGAAAACTGATCATAGAACACACAGTGGAATTAACACGTGTGCCCCCACCCCGCCTCCCACGCCTCCATGCCACCCCCGCAATCCCCGACTCCAGTCTTACCTAGATTTTTGAGATATCAGGACGCCATATAATAAAGCAAAGATAATCGGGGCGACAACCAGCAATACGCGATAGGAAGTCTTCATTCTGCCGAATGGTCGCCAGTCGCACTAAACACGTTTTGCATGATAAAGACGACGATGGTCCTAGTGCGCGCGGTTTGGGCTTCCTTTAAACTAGAGAGGATATAACCAATTAGAAATAAGTAAACGTGGTTGTGTAATCCTATTCAACTCCTCTCGTCTGAGAAATGACTGTTCCCCACAAATAATATGTAATATAATTATATGGTAATAATAATAATAATAGTGAATGTCTGGGACCAGGGCCCTCTTTCTCTGTCACTTTTACAATTTTGGCTCATTTTTCATCGCACGCTTGCTACCCGCATCCCTAAAGTCTTTGTTAAGTGTTAGATTGGAAGATTTATTATACGGGGACGTGAATAGGCGTCTCCTTAACGTAATGGCGGGACAAAGTCTTCACCAGTCGTAAAAAATGAAATATATGCATGAATTATACAAAACAAGACGGATGATGCACTGGTATAAGTAAATGAAAAAAATAAAACGAAATGTATAAATGGTGGACAAATATTAGGCTTTTTGGAAGAATGAATGAATGAACGAATCAATGAACGTGACGAATAAATAAATAAATAAATAAATAAATAAATAAATAAATAAATAAAAAATACACTGGAAATGTCAGTGGCAGTTCATAGAACAAAAGGCATGCTTCCCAAAAAGTAACAAATGGCTACTTTTTGTTAACGGCGGTTGCTTCATATGCAAGTGTAATTTATCTGTTTTATCCGTGGTCAAAGTGCACTGTCAAAAACAACTGGAGTCCTTTTGCGAACATTCATCAGTTCTCAATCTGAAATCTGAGGCCATCTGTGAAACGGTCTCCAAACCGTTCATAGTATTGCGCTGTTGGTAGCTCAGCCGATTTTCCCTAGTGTGCGCCTGCCTTAGGGTGTGTCGTCACGCTTGACCACCGGTTTACTGGTGGACTGAACCAGAAACGACCATCTGTTTGCGTCCCTACAGAGGACAGTACATTTCTTACTGAGGAGTAGGCCTTTGATTGATTAGCGGTGAAATACGTGTGTGAAAACTTTTTTAAATTGTGAGAATTTAAACTTTATTTTGATGGAGGAACACGGAGAAACGTGTTTGGAACAAACCCATTTAGTAAGTACGGATCCTTGTGTTTGGCTACAATGTGTAATAAGCCTATATCTATTGCACGGGATTTGATATAAATGACTGATTGACGCAGATTGACTGATTGTCGCAGTGTAATAGATAAGGTGCGCCAAATAGATAGTAGAAACATGCTCACTGTGTCTTTCGTACTCACTGTCGTCCTTATAGATAGAAATATGGCGAACGCATTGCTCCTCTCAGCTTTTGGAATACCCCAGGTTTGTTCCTCGCTAAATTCGTTCAGTCGGTGGAAGCTGTTCGAATCTTATTCAGTCATTTGTCTTAATCTTGTAATTCCAAATTTATAAACAAGCTACAAAATTAACAATTCTCTCCAAGGTACATAAAGAAGACATTCCCGTGAAAAAAGTTTACTCGGGAGCAGATTATGATGTTCTATTTGAGCCTGACGTGTATCTTAGCGATCAATATAGCGACTTCGTGACGTCATCATCCTCAGAGATCACAGCCATCATGAACCGTCTTCACGTAATATATAGCACAGGTACGTCGTTTTCTTTCAGACGCTTATGAAGCAAGTGCTCATGTCAAATCATTGCCGCCAAACTCAACCAAATGCCAACAGTATGTCAAATAATGTAATATAAATCATGTTCAGATAGTGTATTTGGAAAACTAAGAGCGCAAAAAGTTCTTATAGTCCCTTACCTACACTGGTCTATCGTTTCATTGTGTGAAAAGCTCCAGTGGCCAGACAATTTTCACGGTGCCATGAAGATAAACAGTTAAAAAATACCCACAATAAATTCGGCAACCGTAGGATGCGCCAACATATAGATAATTGCGATGGTATTTATGCCTTTTATAAATTTTATAAATTTATAAATCGTCGAATCCTTATCTAAATCCGTACTGTACGGATCCACTGAACAGCAGCGGCTTCTCTGCTGCCAAATTTCAGCCATTGTTTCGCTGCGACTCTAAAAGTTTCCCAGCGAACACGTGTGATGGTATCTAGAGTCTCTTAATTAGCTACCTTCTTTTATGTGCATGCAACACGAAAGATGAGAATTTGGCGAAGATTTCGCGTCTCCCTCCTCAGACTCTTCATTACAGCCGACCATGCTGCTTTGTTTACATGGCATGGCCTGGTGGGAAGGTGACGTGACCCCCTTTCCGTTGCTTTGATTGGTTAATCTGATCTGAATCTGATTAAAAGGCTCGAACGGCGGGGCTATTCATTTTGATGTTTCGGCATAAATACTACCGCAATTATCTATATGTTGCCGCACCTCTCGGTTGCCGAATTTATTGTGGATATTCTTTTACTGTTTATCTTAATGCACCGTGAAAATTGTTTGGCCACATCACATATTGAAGGAAAGAGCTTTTCTTAACGCTTTTATGCATATCAGGTGGGGGACTATTAGTAACTTCGACTTTGTAAATTACAATGAAATCGCCCTTCGACCAGTTTATTCCAATTCATAACTCGGCCAGTGCAAATGATTTTTATAGGGAATGTGGTTAGTTTTCAAATAATATACGGTGCGTTTTCCCTCCAGGAAATATCAAGGGGCAGAGACTCCTGGACATCGGAACAGGACCTTCTCTAATCAACTTGATAAGTGCTTCTAGATGCTTTGAAGAAATTTATCTCTCAGATTTCTCCACCGCTAACCGGAATGCTCTGAAAAAATGGCAGAAGAAAGAGGAAAGAGAAACTTGGAGCTGGGAGTCTTTCTTTCGTCATGTGGCGAAGTTAGAGGGAAACGAGTGAGTGTAATTGTATATCTGAGATCTTTCTTGGATATCATGTCAGCAACTGATTTGAAGAATGTGATCTATGTCTGGTTTGAGGAAATGACACTACCAACAGGCCATTCGCCTTATCTTTAAAGTACGGTCACAGCCAAATGAGATTCAAGTAATACTAATTTAACATCACTATATGCATGTTTAAAGCAATGACAGCATGCTTTATAAAACTGTAGAAGTGAACAGTTTTTTGTTCACATTTTCAGAGACAGTTGGAACTCGCTACAAGATGAATTCCGAGATAAAACGAAAGCCGTATATTTCTGCGATGTGAACAACGCCAACCCGTTAAGTCCCGTGGATACGGCCCCTTTTGATACAATCACCACCAGCTATTGCTTGGAGACTGCGTGTCAGAACGAGGGGGAGTATCGGCAAGCAATGAAAAACGTTGCGTCGCTTCTGAAACCAAGGGGGTATTTCATTATGCTGGCAGGGTTGAAGGAAACTTATTATCTGGTTGGAGGTAATAACTGGCGAACGCTGCCCCTGCAAGAGGAACAATACAGAGATGCTTTGCAAAAGGCAGATCTGGAAGTTGTTTCGTGGCATCCTATTAAACGCCAAGAGAATGTTTTGGATATTGAGTCCGACTATGTCGGTTGCTTTATTGTCGTTGCGAGAAAGAAGAATGGTCCTTAAAAAAAGCTGTTAACCTGTTTAATGAACATTCAACTGCATTCCCTTTTAAAATATTAATGAATAAATGGATATTGAAACTAGATTATTATTATTATTGTTGTTGTTGTTGATGATGATGTTGTTGAATCGTAAAAAATCTGATAACAATTTTCACTTTTGTGTTGTTGGGCTCGTCTCTATCGAATTAATTATAAGTAATTTCAGATAATCATCAGCTTGATTTAAAAAGAAGAGACATTTTCAGTTTGGTTTGCCCAAATGTTTGATATTGTGACAAACTATTAAAACATTTGCTGATAGAGCAAAACCCAAAATTACCTGCTTATTTTCCCCTCGGCGGCGCGCCATTCTTAAAATCTAAAATTGAGCTTTATTTCATAGGTTGTATTATGAGATTATGAGTTATGCAGTTCTCTGAAATAGAAACTAATATGTGGCATTAATTTTAATTGGAAAAAGCCATCATAAAAAGTGATTTGGTAGGCAATATTATTTCATCTATAACATTCTGAGGTGCTATATTTATTTTTGTGTTGACAAGTATGTGGGATAACCGAAGAAAAATACCGTTCTTTTCCTGATATTTGATTTGAAAAAAAGGTTGACACAACAAAGATGCATTCCAACAAAAATGGTCTTCATTCGGTGTGTAACACTACATCGTTAAAACCCCAAAATCCAGCAGGGATGCTGTCGGCGCTCTTTTTTTTTCTAACAAATACATGTATATAAAACATTACTAGAGAATTGATGGGATGAATATATCGATTGATTATTGATCATCACTTGAAGGGGAATTCCGATAGGCAATTCTTATACAGATTATAGAGAATACTCATATAAACAATAGGCTTCATGCGTTACTTTGGGTTAATCTTATTACTTCAGTTAAGTGTTTTCAAATACCTACCAAATTTATGTGCTCTCCAACAAAATAAACAATTTTTCTCCTAAGCGTCAAGGGTCATTTCGTTACCTTTAACAAATAGTAGAAATTTAGTTTTCTCATTGAAGAATGCAGGCTTATCTGCGCGAGCCCTCAAATCA